CCCCAAAACCCCAAAACCCCAAAACCCCAAAACCCCTATAAATCAACTACAAATTGATCAATTATATATTTAAATTTTTCAAAATGGATAAGTATCACATTATTCATCCAATTGGAGAGGGATCTTTTGGTAAAGTCTTCAAAGGGCGAAGAAAGCAGTCCGGCCAGATAGTAGCCCTGAAGTTCATCCCGAAGAAGTAAGTCCTACACATTTGAAAGCACTAGTCTCATATTTACTGTTTAGAGGGAAAACAGAAAAAGAGCTCATAAATTTGAAGCAAGAAATCGAGATTTTGAAAGGATTGTATCATGAAAATATCATCTTGCTACTAGACTCATTCGAAACCCCACACGAGTTCTGTGTTGTCACTGAGGTAAATTTAGAATTTTAGCGGTATCCAATGATATATAGTTCGCCCAAGGTGACTTATTTGAAATTTTGGAGGACGACAGAAATCTTCCAGAAGAAGAGGTTAGAAAAATTGCTCAACAGCTAGTCCATTCCCTTTACTACCTTCATTCAAAGAGAATTATTCACAGAGACATGAAGCCTCAGAACATATTGATCAGCTCAAGTGGGATGGTAAAACTGTGCGACTTTGGATTTGCCCGGTCAATGTCTACAAACACTATTGTACTTACTTCCATTAAGGGGACGCCATTATACATGGCTCCAGAGCTTGTGCAGGAACTTCCTTATAATCACACCGTAGATCTGTGGTCGTTAGGAGTAATCCTATATGAACTGTTTGTTGGACAACCTCCCTTCTATACTAATAGTATCTATACTCTGATCCACTTAATTGTGAAGGATCCAGTGAAATTCCCAGACAACATGTCAGCTGACTTCAAATCATTTTTGCAAGGACTTTTGAATAAGACTCCAAGCGAGAGACTCTCTTGGCCAGATTTGCTTAGCCATCCTTTCGTGAAAGAAACCGATGAGGAGAAGAAGGAGAGAAAACTTAGAACCGAGCTCTACAACAAGTGGGCAATGAGGGAGCATCCTTCAGGAGGGAAAGATCAACTCAATTCTCCCTTCACCCTTGGAGGTTTTGGAGGTAATGACGGAGAGGATGCTCAGGAGCTTGATACTACAATCAATCCTTCTTTTGAATACACTATTGAAAAGTCCCCTGATGAGGAATCCAATCTCATTATCGGAGAGAATGAAGTCTGGTCTAAATACGAAAGTTCCGCCAGAAATGAAAAAGGAGCTACTGCACTCAGGCATGACTCCAGCTTTCTTGAGAGACTTATCTATGTACTCCAAATAGAAAGTGCAGACTTACATTCTGAGGAGAAACTGGTAATACTTCATGTAGCTTTGAGAGTACTGGCTTTGGTCCTTAATAATTCCAAACTGGAAGATGCTGATAAGGACATACTAAAGAGCTCCTCTGTGCCTACATTGCTACTCTCCTTATTAAAGCCAGTTTTAAAAGTAAGCGATAATTACCCAGAGACTCTTGGATACTTAATCAGAGCGAACACTCTTCTGATCAAACCAACATTCAATCAGACTGTCGGTATTGATCCTCAAATTGTGAAAGAGCTAATGCCTCAGATTCCTGGGTTCCTCAAGATGAAAACCGGCTCTGCTAGTGCTAACAATATGATCCATGAGTATAGCCTTATCAGTTTGGGTATTTTCGCTTCCCAAGCTGCAGTGATGCCTTCCAAAATGGTTGGTGTTTACAAAGAAATACTCAATTTAAAACTTGTTGATGAATTGTGCTACAGAGTTTCACTGATATCTGGAGTAGTAAACGATCTTGATAAGAAAGCCATTCATATCATCTCATGCATCATAAGTCCCTACTTCGGAGAAGTCTATAGTTTCCCATGGAAGAGAGGACCTCACACTGCTGTTGCAGAGTATAATGACTGTGTTCACACATTTGATATACTAAAAGAGACTGTATATAGATGCTTAGCTGACTTCTCATGGATGGGTACGCTTACTTACTCTTATAAAGAACTCTATGAAGTAGATAATGTCACTTGTATTGCTATTTTCAGAATCTTCCTCCAGTTACTCAAGTTCAAACTTGAAATCGCCTCTGAGATAATCTCTGACGGAGGAGTTATGAAGCTATTGCATACAGCCCTTGCTGGGAGCAATCCAGTGCTCAAGTCATTAGCTCTTGAGATGTTCCAGATCTTGATCTCTCAACTAGCCCAGTATAGACTTGATTTTTCAGACCTTGGTCTTGAAGTCACCAACATCTGTGAACTTATGGAAGATAATATCTCCACAGAGCCCCTTGTGGCAAGCTATGCATCAGGTGTTATTTATGAAATTATGGAGAAATGTGGAGGCGCTAATGCTGACTTTATAGTCAAAAGATACTCCGATGTGAACAAGTTATCTCTCATCCAGCAACTCTTAGATATTAATAAGCCTAAAGATGATATCAAGAAGGTAGATGGAACTAACTTCGGATGTCCTAATAGAGGATTCTACGATTACCCCCTCCTTGTTCTAGAAAGATTGTACACAAAGCATATCAGTGAATCAACAAGATCTTCTAGCAAGACTGAGTTCTCAACCAGCTTAGATAAGATTAACATTGCTGACACAGTTGTCTCATTTATTCTAAATCTAAGCAACAGAACCGATGTAAGTCCAAGAGGAATCATCCCTTTGCTTGGATTTATTCATCAATGTATTCACAAAGACATTAAGAATGTACTCCAGAAGATCTTCAAGAACTGTATCAAAGTACTATGTGCTTTGATCAGAGAGGATCAATTCCTCAGTATCCAAGAGTGGCCAGAATTATGTGGAGGGGGACCAAACGCTGTCAACCTAATTGCTTCCCAAATTCTGAGAACCTTCAATTTGCCATTCACTAAGCAGAACATAGATAGAGATTTAGAGAAGATCAGTCAGGAGCTTGCCAAGAGTGACATCATCTACTTAAGTCTGACTGTCCTCAAGTACGTTAACCCAGAATACATCAATATTGGAATGTCATTGTTGTGGAAGTTGATCTTCAATTCTGAAGAGTCAAAGACCTTTGCTAAACAATTTGTCTCAGGAGGAGGTCTAAATGCTATCTTGAAGTACAAGATCTTAGATCCCGATAACAGTGAAGTCCTTCTGGTCGATACATTGAGTCTGATCTCCCAGCTTGCAAGACTCTCGAAGGAGTTTTACGAGCCTATCCACCAAGCTGGTATGTATGAGGAGCTGAAAGTACTTATCGAGCATAAGGACCCAGGAGTCAGAGCTAAAGTCTGCAATCTCATTGGTAATTTATGCAGACATACTGGATTCTTTTACGAAAAATTACTGAAGAGTGGGCTCATTGAAGCAGCTATTGATAGATGTACAGATTCAGATCCAAATACCAGGAAATTTGCATGCTTTGCTGTTGGAAATGCAGGGTTCCATAACGAAAATCTCTATGAAAGCTTGAAGCCATGCGTCCCATTGCTCGTAACGCTTCTTCAAGATGACGAAGAGAAGACTAGAGCTAATGCTGCTGGGGCTCTTGGAAATTTCGTGAGAAATTCCAACACTCTCTGCAAAGATTTGATCACTCATGGAGCTCTAACTCAACTACTAGAAGTAGTCAAGAACGATAAGGGACCTTCTCAGAGTCCAAGAAGGATCGCTCTCTTCTCTATCGGTAATCTTTGTGTATATCAAGAGTGCAAGGAAGAATTCGAGAATATGGAAATCAGGAAGGTCATAGAGCCTTTCAGAAAGTCTGACTCTAAAAGTAGCAGTGACCCTCAAGTGGTAAAATATGCTACCAGAATCATCCACAAATTGGATGATAAGAGCCAGCGTTAATCATTTTACTACTTTCAACTGCAAAAATATATGAAGGGGTTTTGGGGTTTTGGGGTTTTGGGGTTTTGGGG